TATCCAGATTAGCAAAATAGCATGACAGATACATTCAAAATTTTTATATCGTGTTATAAAATGGTCATAAAATTATAAGTATCCTACCTCAAGTCAATAACAACACATGATTTTCCATCTAAACATTTAAGGATGTATTTATTTGTTGCTGTTATTTCATTTTTTGCCTATGCTGGGACTTTGAACTCAGGGCCTGGGCACTATCCCTGACCTTTCTTGCTCAAGGTTAGTGCTCTACCACTTGAGCCACAGCACAGTTTTATGCTGGTTAATTGGAGATAAGAGTCTCATGGACTTTCTTGCCCTGCCTGATTTCAAACCATTATCATCAGATCACAGCCTCCTGAGTAGCTAGGATTACAGGTATGGACCATGGGCACCTGGCTAAAAATAAAGGTATTTTTATACCAATAGGTTCAGCTATGTTTGGCTTTTCTTTTTCTTTTTTTTTTCTTCATTCTGCAAACAGCACCTCCTTTCATACAAGTCCATGAATAAGACTTTATTTACAGACTCTCCTGGTTCAACCAGTGGGCCCCACTGGAGACCTTCCACATTTCCAGCACTCAGAGGAAAATCAGTTGTTTCTTCTGGACTTCTTTGGACTGTGTGAGCTTTGTAAAGATCAGTGGGTGGGGCTCAGAGAGTGGCTCTGCCCTGGGCTGGGTGTCCCCCTTCATTCACACATGTGCTCAGAACCTGAGCCAAGCTTCAGTAGTTATCAAATAGCCTTCTCATTAATATGAATGGCCTATTTGCCCCCTCTGAAATTTTAAAATTATAAATGTTTGAGGAGTAATACTTTCCCCTTGAGGGGATTACATGGAGTCAGAGTGACTCTGTTCCTATTTGTGTAACCAAAGAAGAGATGTCAAGCAGAATTGAAAAGTTAAAATTTTCTTTCTTCTTCCTTCCCCCCTCCCTTCCCTCCCTTCCCTCCCTTCCCTCCCTTCCCTCCCTCCTCTCCCTCCTTCCCTTCACTCCCCCCCCCTCCCCCCTCCCTCCCTCCCTCCCTTCCTTCCTTCCTTCCCTCCCTCCCTCTCTTCTTTCTTTCTCCCCCTTCCTTTCTTCCTTCCTTCCTTCCCTCCCTCCCTCTCTTCTTTCTTTCTCCCCCCTTCCTTTCTTCCTTTTTTTCCTATGCCAGTCCTGGGACTTGAACTCAGGGCTTAGGCACTGTCCTTGGCCATTGTTTCTCAAAGTTAGCCCTCCACCACTTGGGCCACAGCTGCACTTTGGACTTTTTTGATGGATGAGATAAGAGTCTCATGGACTTTCCTGACCCTTTTTGGCTTTGAACCGTGATCCTCAGATCTCAGCCTCCTGAGTAGCTAGGTGTGAGTCACTGGTGACCAGAAAAGTGAAATTTCTAATCTCAGGAGGCTATGGAATGTTACTTCTCTTTATAGAAACAATTTTTGTTTGTTGTATCTCTGACACTTCCTTACATGTTTATGGAACACAATGCCTGAGCCAAACAATATCATGCAACATAGAGCTTTGTCTATATCAAACAATATAGAGCTTTGTCTATTAGTGATAAAATTCCTTTATATTTGCAACTAAGAATTGTAATTTTTGCATAATTTGAGCTCTGAATTTTATTTTTGGAAACATATACACATATGTGCATACATATATACATGTTTATGTATACACATATATATTGCACTAGGGAACTGAAATCTAAATTTCTTTAAAATATGTATATATTTTGCATTATCTTTTTTTTATTTTGTGGTTGCTTTTTTTTGGTCTGTCGTGGGGCTTGAACACTCAGCCTGGGCACTGTCTTTGGGCTCTTCAGTGCGAGAGCTTTACTGTTTGAGCCACAGTGCCACTTCCCATTTTCTGACAGTTAATTGGAGATAAGAGTCTCATGGACTTTCCTTCCTGGGCTGGCTTTGAACTGTGACCCTCAGACCTCAGCCTCCTGAGTAGGTAGGATTACAGGCGTGAGCCACCGGTGCCCAGCTTTCTTTTGTGTGTGTGTGTGTGTGTGTGTGTGTGTGTGTGTGTGTGTGTGTGTATGTATTTAAACCATTATTTGATTATAATTTAGGTGTCTTTGGCTCAGTATTAGAAAGTATTTTATTATCTATTTTTTCCAGTAACTGGCACTGGTTTGCTTTATTTCCACCCATTTCCCTCTGATTCTGTGCAGTCCTCCTAGCTTCCCTCAGATCTGCACATGTATATAACACTTGTGGGGTCAAGAACATGGAGTCACCTAAAAATGATGCAATAAAGAAAAAGAGGTCCATTGTTTCTTGAGTCCTGTTTACTTTGTCATATTTCATTGTGTTTTGAATTTAACATCTGCATATCAGGGAGACCATGTGCTGTTTGTCTCTTTGATCTTGGCTTATTTCACTCAACATGATTTGTTCTAGTTCGATCCATTTCCCTGCGAATGTCATTATTTTGTCCTTTCTAATGGCTATGTAATATTCTATTGTACATAGATACCACAATTTTTGGATCCATTCATCTGTAGTGGGGCACCTGTGTTGTTTCCATATCTTGGCTGTTATGAACAGTGTAGCAATGAGCTTGGATATGCATGTGTCCTTGTAGCCTGGTTCCTGTTGAGAGTAGATGTCTAGAAGTGGTTTGGCTGGGTTAGGAAAGGTCTATGTTTAGTTTTCTGAAGAACCTCCAGACTGTTTTCCAAAGTGGTTATATTAGTTTACATTCCTACCAGCAGAGCAATAGTAGGGTTCCTCTTTCCCTACATCCCTGCCAGCATTTGTCGTTGGCTGAATTTAGGATATAGGCCATTCTGACTGGGGTAAGGTGGTATCTCAGTGATGTTTTTATTAGCATTTCCTTTATGGCCAGGGATGAAGACCATTTCCTCATGAGTTTCTTTGCCATTTTTATCTCTTCTTCTGCTCCCTTACCCATTTAATGATTTGTTAGATTTGGGAGGGATTAGTTTCTTGAGTTCCCTGTATATAATGGATGTTTGATGTATTGCTGCAAATATCTTCTCCCAATTGGTTGGCTATCTTTCTAGTTTGGTAGCTTGCATTTTCTCTTGATTTTTTTTATGCATTCTGAAAGGAAAGGTTTGATTATGATTTTGCTAATAATGTCTAGTGAGCAAAAGCAGGAGCCACAGGAAAGCTTGGAGAATGTCCATTTAAGTGGAAAATTACCATTGTAAATGTAGTATCAGGAATTTCTCCAATGCAATGCTTTAATTTACTATTTGCTGACCATTGCTGGCATCATTGTGTTGGCATAAAGGAAGAGAGGATGATTTTAATTTGATTTCTGACTTAGTTGTTTTCATAGGGTTTATTTTCAAATATGTCTTTAGGGTGGGTGTTAGTGGCTCATGCCTATAATCCTAGCTACTCAGGAAGCTGAGATTAGAGGACTGAGATTCAAAGCCAGCCCAGGGAAGAAAGTATGTGAGACTCTTTAATTACTAAAAGGTTGGCAGTGGAGCTATGGCTCAAGTAGTAGAGAGCTAGCTTTGAAGAAATAAATAGGGATGTCACCTAGCCCTGGGTTCAACCCCCAATACTGGCACAAACAGAAAAAAAATCTGATGTTTTCTTTCAGTGTTTTATTTCAAGACATAATCTCATTGCTGCATAGTTCTGTTGAATTGTTTTAATTTTCTTGGTGTATAGTGATTGAATAGAAGTGTTCCCTTTTGAGAACCTAAATTAGGATGTCAATTAATAGGAATAAAAGGCAATTGTACTCAAATACTGGGAGAGATAGACATAAATGAACAAGAGCAGGAATTCTGGTAGAATACTAAGATTGCATGGGATTTTTATTACACGTATTACAAATCATGGAGGGTGAATGCAATGCTCAGATTTGAATTTTGGAAACCCAAAAGTCATCTCCTGAAGTAATCAGGATTTTTTCCCTTTTTTTTCTCAAATTATGCTTCAAATGAGCAATTTTTTTTTAAGTTACTCTCAGAAGGAAATTTTTCTAATAATTGTCTGACTTACTAATCAGAACACACTAAACTTAATTTTTAAATGATTACTTGATTACTTATTCTTTATTTTAGTTTTTGGCGTATCAGTAGTAGGGCTTCAACTCAGGCCCTCCAGGTCTTGCTTGATTTTTTTTTTTTTTTTTTTTTGCTTAGGGCTGGTGGTCTACCATCAGAGCCACATCTCCACTAGCTTTTTTTTTCCTGTTTAATTGGAGATAACAGCCTTATGGACTTTCTGCCAAGGCTGATCCTCAGATCTTAGCCTCCTAAGTAGCTAGGATTACAGGAATGAGCCCCTGCCACTCAGCTTCACCATTTCTCTCATGAGGATAAAATACAGGACCCCGTTATCACCACTGAGATACAGTTTCTAATACATCAGTACCATTGGTATCTACTTCCTAGTTTTCTACATTTTCAGAAATACGTGTAAAAAAGGATTAAGAGGCACTAGCAGTGATCTTGTGTACTTGTTTACTATTTGCTTTCTCTGAAAAAATATGTAAACACAGTGTGCATTCATTTTAAATTCTCAAACTCCCATGGCAACCTAATACTCCTTCGGGTTGAAGTAACACAAAGGCTATTGATGATGCTTCTCTCTCTGATTTATGTATGAAGTGATGTGATTAATGGCTCTGCATCCCAAATTTTTTTTACATTAGTGATGACAAACAGGAAGCATTTCTGCATATCTAAATATACTTAACAAAGAATTAAAAAGAAACCTAAAACCAATTCATTCTTCCAAAGAGCTAGTGTTAGAATGTGGAAAATCATATTGCTGGCTCACTGAAATGCAAGATGGGGGAGATTCATGCCTGTCGCACCCAGTTTCTTGTGGTCTAATGAATCAGAACAGATCTACTGTTAGCAATTAAAAAAAATTTAGTTATCTGTGCGTATGTTCATGGACATGTATGTGTATGTATTTTTATGGATTTATATCACAGCATTTATATACATATATAAATATTTTGGTTTTCTACCAGATCTAACAGTGTTCTTTGTTTTGTTTTGTGTTATTCAACAGAAATCTTCTTGACAGAGATACATTTTCTAAATCTGATCCAAGTAAGTGTATATGATTTGCTTTTTGAAACCATCTACTTGTTTTGCTTACTTGATTTGGCAAAAATTGTAGGAAGATCATCAGTGTTTCCTATGCATTTGTTTTAAATCCTAGGAAATCAGAGCGGGTGGGGTGGGTAGGTGGGGGGAGTCTCAGTTCCTCCTGGCCTTTCCAACTGGTCAGGACTGTAACTAAAGAGGAAGCCACTTGTCACTTTGAGATTGTGATGAAAATGCAAATGACTGTAATGTAGGGGCAGGTTTTATGAAATCACAGCCTCATGATAAAGGCATAAAATAGAAATGTTATTTAAAAATAATTGCCATGGGTCATAATGTGGAGTGATTGAGGCACTTCAAATTTAGTCATTAAAAAAAAGAGAAGTAAGCTGGCGCCCATGGCTCACACCTGTTATCCTAAATAGTGATAGTGAGAGGATCACAGTTTGAGGCCAGCCTGGGTAGAAAAGTTCCAAAGACCTAATCTCAAAAATAATCAGCATCTAAGTCTCAGTGACTTTTATGTCTACTATCATAGTTATGAAGGAGATCGAGATCTGAGGATCATAGTTGGAAGCCAGCCCATACAGACAAATCTGAAAAACTCTTATCTCCAGTTAACCAGCAAAAAAGCTGGAAGTGGAGGTGTGGCTCAAATGGTAGAGAACCAGCTTTGAGCGCAAAAACTAAGCCAGAGCATGAGACCTGAGTTCAAGCCCCAATACCAGCACATAAAAATAGTGGTCAGCAAATATTCTGCTGGAGGAATGGCTCAAGTGGTAGAGCACCAGCCTAACAAGTACACAGCTTTGAGTTCTAACCCTAGCATCCTCGCAATAATAGCGATAGAAATCAATGCACAGTAAAAGCATAAAAATAGTATATAAAGGCCACATGCCTACCTTCTAGTATGAACTGAATTTTTTTGATTCTTAGGGATATTGGAAATTGGCAATAACTTGTAAAATGAAAAGGGTAATTTGCATGAGAAAGCAACAGAATTAAGGATACACCCATTAAAGTATAAACTAATTAATTGTATAAATTAATTCTAAATCTCCAAAAATTTGGTAGTTAATGTCCAACAGTTCTGTGTTCCTGTAATGAAATATGATTTCATTACAGAGTAAAAATCATTGTCAGATTCTGGAAGATTGTTAAAGTTATTAGTTAGGAAAAGAAACAGCATTTGGTGGGTTAAAAACTCTTGAGGTTTATTTGATAATTTTTAATCCTTAAATCTTTATGTAAAATTTGAGAATCTCCCTCTCATAGACTTGCTTTCTTGATTTGTGAGATTTCTCTCTCTCTCTTCTTTATTTTCCTTTTTCTTTCTCTCTTCTCTTTCCCTTCCCTGCCTCCTTACCTCCCTCCCTTCTTCCCTTCCTCCTTTCCATACTGCATTTTGAACTTAGGGCTTCATGCTTAGTGGGACATGCTTTACTGCTTTGACCATGCCTCCTGCTCTTTTTTAGCTGATTAATTGGAGATAGAATCTTGAGAACTTTTCTGCAGCCTGGCTTCAACCTAAAATCTTCCATATTTCAGCCTCGTGATTAGCTAGGATTGCAGGCACAATTCATGGGTTGCTTGTAGGATTCCTTGCCAATTTACAAATATTGAGGGTAGGTAGTATAACTATTAGAATAATATTTGCTCCAGATTGTCCCTTTTGTGTTGGTTTTGAACACTTTAAGTATCTTAGGAAGAGTTCAGAAAGATATTTTAATAGACATATCTACCTACACACTGAAATACATCAAATTGTTAAAAGATGATTTAAAAAGTTATCTATATCTGTAATGTAATATGAAGACTAAGGAAATACAGTATTCTCTATGTGCATGATTAACTTCAAATATTTATTTTCTGCTTCTTTAAAGTAATTTTTAAAAAACGACTATTTCATGACAGCTTTTTTGGTAAAGGGTATTGCATATTTAATTTTGATGTAACCTTTGGACATTTGAAATAGAAATTGTATACATTTACATTTGATGTTTAGAAGAGTTATTTATATATATGTATTTTCTTCTTTTACCTTTTGTAGTTTGTGTCTTATACATTCAAGGAGTTGGAAATAAGGAATGGAGAGAGGTAAGGTAAAAAAGCTTTAACAATTAAATGAGGGGCTGGGAAGGTGGCTCAGCGGTAAAGTACTTGCCTTGCATGCACGAGGCCCTGGGTTTGATTCCCTCAGCACCACGTAAGCAAAACAAGTCAGAAGTGGTGCTGTGGCTCAAGTGGTAGAGTGCTAGCCTTGAGCTGAAGAGCTGAGGGACAGTGCCCAGGCCCAGAGTTCAAGCCCCATGACTGGCCAAAAAAAAAAAAAATTAAATGATCTTGATGCCGTTACAACTTGAGATGAAACACTCCTTTATATAGTTAGGGCTTTTTCTTTTTAAATTTTTATTATTTAATTCATTATTATCTTTAAGTAGTTGTACAAAGCAGTCTCAACAGGTTGACCTATGAGTAAAGTGCATCTTGATCAGTTGCACCTAGCATTCTCTCCCATCTCTCTCACTCCCAACCATCCCCGCATTAACTCCTTCCATTTTCAAATGTGTACATTGAGATTTATGACCCATTCACCCACCCTTCCTTCCCAAATTTATGTTGAAATCTTTTTTTTCTTTTTAAACGTATTCAGTTTTTTTTGGGGGGGTCATTTTGTGAAAGTTATCTTTGAGTTTTGTTTGGAGGACACACAATGATGCCTTATGAATATCTGACTTATTCATGAGTTTCATCTGAAGTATTCTAGACTTGAGACTTGACTCAGCCAGAATGAAATTTAATAGATTTGAATCTATTTGACAGGATTTGACATGATGCCTCATAGAATTGAATTCCGTGGTCCCAGTCTCATTTTTAGAGGTCAACTGTTGATTTTTGATAAAAATCGTGCACAGAAGGGCTGTAAGTGGGTGTTCCATATCAAATCTTACCTGGGTTATTTTTATTTTTATTTCCTCAGGGAGAAAATTGTTTGGAAATAAAGCAGAAGCTCAGTTTCCTAACATAAATACTCATTATTTAATGAACACATGGTGAAGAGGCTGAAATATAACTTTAATTACTTTATTTTTTTCTGGACTATCTCCACGTACACGTGGAAGCATGATCTGGGAAGTGATGAAGTGTTTTACAATTAATGGCATTTCCATCTGCCCAGCATTGCGGGTTCTGTCTCATGAAAGCAATGTACTGCTAAATGAGGTTACAGTTTCTGGTTACATTTCCCTAGTGAGAGCTATGTGCTATTAGCTGACACAGATTGCTTTGTGCTAGCTATTTTAGCAATGTGTCTTAATTCTGAGAGAGAGGCTAAGACTAGATCATTGTAATCTATTCTCAAAAATGGAGGGGAAAAAGTCTCCAACATTAAATCTCTTGGTCATGAATGACATTCGATATATAACTCAGCTCGAGTTTCTTCTATGGATTTGTTGGTTGGCCTAATAGGATTTATGTACACAATTTTAGCAGCATAATCTCTGACTGGTGGGCCCTGTTGGTTCTGGTGAGGGAACACATTATAGTGGGAATATATAGTGTTGAAAAATACCTCAACTCATCACCAGGAAGCAATAAAGATCTTGGGAGGGGCTGTGACCCAACAGTCTCCTTCTAAGGCACCTCCCCTCCCCCACCAACCAATGACCTAAAACACTCCCACTAGGCATCATCTTTTAAATTAAATTTCCACCACTCCCAAGAGTGTTGCCAAGGAGAACAACCCTGGGAAGAAACCAACTTATAGCATTTCTGCGCCTGTCAACCCAAAGCTTCATACCATCATACTATGCAAATATGTTCCGACTATCCCTAAACATCATAGAATCTCTGAACCCTTATTGCTCAAAAGGCCAAGTTCAAAGATTCCTTCATGATGCAAGGAAAGCTCAGCTGTAAGCCCATGGGGGAAACATATCACACAGAAAGTTGCATGCTTCTAAGGTTCTGTGATTGTGTAGAGTTCAGGTTCTTCGTCTCAATGTGACAGAATGGAAGGAAAGGTTGCAGGACGATAGGGTAAGAAGTTGAGAGCTTTTATGACAGGAGGCAAGATGTACAGACTGTCTGTAAGAGGAGTTCCACCAGATACAGAATTATGAGGCAGGAGGGGCTGGGAAGGTGGCTCAGTGGTAGAGCGCTTGCCTTGCATGCCTGAGGCCCTGGGTTCGATTCCTCAGCACCACATAAGCAGAAAAAAAAGCCGGAAGTGGCACTGTGGCTCAAGTGGTAAAGCACTAGCCTTGCGCTGAAGAGCTGAAGGACAGCACCCAGGCCCAGAGTTCAGGCCCCACGACCGGACCCCAAAAAATGAATTATGAGGCAGGAAAAGTGTGGAGAGGCAAAGTTTATTTGAAAGTAAGATGCCAGGGGAAATGGAGGCAATGCCTTTTTGCTAGTGGCAGGATGGTATAACCCCCAACCCAGATCCCGATAATGAGGGCTTGCTCATGTCATCAGATGTCTTACTCACCTGCTTTCCAGCCATGGGGCAGGAGAGGAAGGTAGAGTGGGGAAAGGAAGAGGAGGAGGAAGAGGATGAGGGAGAAGAGGAGGAGGAGGAGAAAAAAGGGAGAGGAGGAGAAGAAGGAGAAGAGGAGGAGGAATACAGATTTCTCCATGTAAGAGAAAAAGAAGTGGAACTTGGAAATTGGTAACTCTACTGTAGGCTTATGAGGCTCCCTCTGTTATAGTCCTTTTGGTGATTTTTGGCTCCTCTGGCATCAGGTCGAGTCATGTGCCCACATCACCATCCAAGGGAAGGTGCACTTGTTCCCCGCTCTAGAGTGATCAAGGCCTTTGCTCTCTCAGAGGTTTTATGTCGTCTTTCTCAGAGGGAGGATACAGGCTCCACAACTATCTTTGCTTTCCCCAAGGGTCTCAGGGGTTGTCACATCCAGTGACCTCAATACAATGGTAGGACAAGCATGGGTCAACCTTACTGTTCCTGAAGGAGGAATTGAAAAAGATAGAATCATGGGTAACAGTGGAACCCAGCCTGGCGCACACTAAATCTTAGATCACAACATCTGCTATGTAGAGGGTACTGGTAGGAACTGGAGTCCCAAGGGATGGGGCACTCCTGTGGCTGCAGCCCATGTGACCTCTCATATGAGTGCTATAGTCCCACAATCCCTTGCAAGGGTATGCTCCCAATGGCCTAAAGGCCTTTCCCCAGGCCTCGCTTTGTGTGTGTGTTTGTGTATGTATGTGTGTGTGTGAGTGTGAGCTGGGGCTTGAACTCTGGGCCTGGGCACTGTCCCTGAGCTTTTTTTTGCTCAAGCCTAGCATTCTACCACTTGAACCATAACTCTACTTTCAGCATTAAAAAAATTTTTTTTGGTACTTAATTTTGGTGCTTAATTGCCCAAGATGGCTTCAAACCTTAATCTTTAGATCTCAGCTTCTTGAGCAGTTAGGTGCTTGGATGAGAGTTTATTCTTTTTTGGGGGAGAGGGGTCTGGTTGTGGGGCCTGAACTCTGGGCCTGGGTGCTGTCCCTCAGCTCTTCAGCTCAAGGCTAGTGCTCTACCACTTGAGCCATAGCGCCACTTCCGGCTTTTTTCTTTTTGCTTATGTGGTGCTGAGGAATCAAACCCAGGGCCTCGAGCATGCAAGGCAAGCGCTCTACCACTGAGCCACCTTCCCAGCCCCTGAGAGTTTATTCTTATTGGGTGCTAGCTAAGTGGTTAGTTTAAAAATCTCCCTTGCTTAAAAATCTCCTCATCCTTTCCAAGGGTTTAAGCAGTGAATTAGCAATTTCTTCTTTAAAGTGGGGCATCGGTGGCTCACTCCTGTAATCCTAGCTACTTAAGAGGCTGAGATATGAGGATCACAGTTCAAAGCTAGCCTAGTTAGGAAAGTCTGAGACTCTTATCTTCAATTAAACACCAGAAAGCCAGAAGTGGCACTGTGGCTCAAAGTGGTAGAGTATTAGCCTTGAAAGAAAAAGCCCAGGGACAGTGCTCAGGCCCTGAGTTCAAGCCCCATCACCACCAACAACAAAAAAAGGAAATTTCTTATGCCATCTATAAGTTCTGTCATAACAATAATGTCTGTCTACTATCTGAAGCCCTTCTGCCTTCCTTGTGTTGCAGCAAGCTGTGGAATGTGTGTTGGTACAATCCATGTTATACACACAGAGTCAGAAGTGTGGGTAGGTTAAGTCATTTGAGTGAAGTTGTTCCATCATGATTTACACAATGGGTTTCAAACTAGGTTGTCAGGCTCCAGGCTCCTGCTGCTAAACTACCCTAGACAAAACTCTCATCTGTTCCCAGCCAAGACATTCTGCTTTTATAAATGGAACACCTTAAACTTGATTCAGAGTGAAAGGCAAATAAGAAGCCAATTATTAAAAAAGTAGCATGCCCTTAAAATAAAACACTGAGAGAACAGAATACTTATGCTGACTCTTGTTCTTTGAAGGAGCAGAAAATATTAGCCAATGGAAATCCTAGCCAAAGAGGATGTGAGTCAGGTACCTGTGGCTCACATCTGTACAGTGCTCAGCCCCTCAGTTCAAACCCCAGGACTGGCCCAATAAATAAGTAACTAAATATAACAAACAGATGAATGAATGAATAAATAACTAAAGATGATATGTAAACAATACAAAGTTGGTGGAAGTGCTAAGAAATAGGAGCCAAAATTGTGCAGAATGTGATAGAGGAAAATGGAAAAATATCACTTGTTGTCAGCTGTTTGTGTTTACTGTCTATAGAACTACTGTGTTCTGGAAAGTTTATTTATATTTATTTATTTTTGTGCCAGTACTAGGACTTGAACTCAGGGCCTTGAGCACTGCCCCTAAGCTCTTTGGCTCAAGGCTAGCATTCTACCATAGCACCACTTCTGGTTTTCTGGTGGTTAATTGGAGATAAGAGGCTCATGGATTTTCCTGCATGGGCTGGCTTTGAACCACGATCCTTAGATCTCAGTCTCCAGAGTAGCTACGATGACAGGCATAAGCCACTGATGCTTGGCTGAGAAGCTTATTTTTAAAAATTTCTCCCATTTATGAAAGCTGAGGAGTCCAATATCAAAGCTCAGGGACCCCTGTCTCATGGGAGTCTTTAT